TATTCAGGTATGCATATTCTTTGTGGACGCAATAATTCATATTATACCATATAAAGGGCAGCCTCAAATCACAAGTCCACTGGTTGAGTATTAAAAAAAAAAGTAAATGATTTATTCTAAATTTTGTTAAATATACTCCTTTATTGCCATCGATTATAAAGCTTATTAAAATCTGTTCTTTCCATTAATAAGAAATTACTAAGGGAACATCATCATTCAGGGTACATTTAACCAGACCTGTTTATGTGAAGCCTCTCTTCCTCATTCTCAAGTGTTTAAAGAGTAATGTATTTCAGAAATAAACAGTATTTGTTCGGAAAAGGAAATACATACTGGTTAAACGATCACTAGAAGCAGGAATTAGACCATGGTTCCTCATTAGTAACAGGTGTTTCTATTCCTTTTGAGACTGTATTTCATGTCATTTTACTATATTTTCTGTGTCTTGGTTATCTACCACCACTTTTCCCCCACATTCCCCCAAATTTTGTAGGAAAGAAAAGTCTAGATCATTTTATATTCCCCTATCAACCATTCTTTAGGAAATAATTTCATTGTAGTTTCTTAACCATCTGATTGGTGGGGCTGCTCTTTTTACTGGAGGACACTAGAGAGCATAACTGCTTCCAATGTCTTTTGGTGCAGAGAAAGACTAACTCTCACTTTAAATTAACAAGTATCAGATCCATAAATCCAGTATGATGTTTTACTATTTACAAATCAGTGCTATCAAAACAGATTGGTATTACATTTATTGTCAGGAATTAGAAAACATATATACCCCACTAACAGTACTATAAAAAATTACTTCTCATAAAGGTGATTAAGTTCAAGATACTCTGCTTACAAGTAAAAAAGTACTCTTCCCTACAAGTAAAAACCAGGGGTAACTAAAATATTTACTTGGAGTATATATTATCCTCACATATACAAGCACAATTGCTTTCTAAAAAGTAAATCAATGTTCAGCATATGATTTAGTTCATGGAAAATGTTAAACAATGTCAGTGTGAATAAAAAAGGCATATTCCTACTCATACAACTCTTGGTTTGGGGATTGCAGTTTTGGATCAGCCATTTTTCTGGAAATGTATGATAATTTCCTTAACTTAGTATATATTAGTTATCAATATGGTACTCTGATGAATAAATCAACATCAGTTTTTATAGTAAATAATATGTCACTCACACATGGGATTTTACACTTTGATTACAAAATCCTTGGTAAGAGTACTTAAATACTTAGATAGGCATAAGATCATATCTAGTGTGTGATTTAAACATCAACCATAAAGCTGGAAGCAAAATTACCTCCACAATATAAAGAAAAATAAGCTCCCAAGAAATATAGATTTAAGTAAGGAGCTTTTTTTTTTTAATTGACTTTAGAGAGAGAGAGAGGAGGTAAGAGAGAAAGACATCAATTTGTTGCTCCACTTTATTTATGCATTCATTGGTTGATTCTTCCATATGCCCTGACCAGAGATTGAACCCACAATCTTGGCATATAGGGAGAATGCTCCAATCAACTGAACTACCTGGCCAGAGCAAGGAGCTTTTATTTTTAAAGGCAAAATGCAGTAAGACTTTTAGAGCTCTAACTATCTAGAGTGACAGTTCTGCCTCCTGATACACATTTACATGCATGTACAGTACACATATATCTCATATAGATGTATAATTGTAGAAACCAAACTTGTATTTATAGCACATACCAGGACATACCACTAAACCATTCATAGTTTATAATACTTTATCAGTAATAATTAGCAAACTACACAAATAAAACCATGAGTAAGACATAGAAATATTTGTGTCTAAGGGATTCTTACAATCAGGTTTTCAACAGTCATTTGGTTGCAGTTGACAGTCCACAACTGTAGCTATTCATAAGAGTTCCTGGAATGTGGCCTGCAGAGTTCACATTGGTCAGCTCTCTATAGGAAATTATCTGTGCTGCATTCATTTTCAAAAAGAGACAGTAATGTTTTGCACCTCCCCCATTTACCAAAAAGGAGTCTGTTAAGTGTGGAGGTAAACAAATTTTGTAATGTTCACTGTAAAAGTGGCTATACATTTTTCTATAAGCTACATTTTCAACCATCGCTATACCCTCAGTTTAGACAAAATCAATTTGATGAATCTCAACAACTGACTATATGCCTAATGAGAAAAGCTAAAATAATACATTAACTTTATGGTACTTAATATATGACCTATGGACAATATTAAACAAAAACTTTAAGACATTTTCTTACTTTGTATATATAAGTATATGTAAGTATTACTATAAGGTCTTTTCTGATTCTTTAAAATAAATGGTCTCAAAATGAGCCAATATAGAACCTTAAATTAATGGGTAATGGGGTAATGGGTAATAGGTAATGGAACCAAATTTACAAGACAGTTTTCAGTATGTCAACCTAATGTTACTTTTCCATTTTCTTTTTCTCAACTCTTTTTTTAAAAGCAAACACTTATTTACAAATATTTTCTCAGGACTGGAAATTTGTTTCAACCTGTTCATCAATTTAAGTCATAATTACTCAAGACTTCTCACTCCAAATGTTTCATTTTACATTTGAATACTGTAAATAAAATTGTATGCAACCTATATAATATTAACCCATGTATTGAAATAAATTCAATAAAAATATTTTAAAACTGTATGCAAATTTTAATTTAATAAAATTATATTAAAATTATATCATTTTGTTAGTACTGTCCCCTCAAATATATTCAACTCAGTAATTTAAACATACACCTGGAAAAATTGTGTTATTTAATATCAAGCATACAACTTTAAAATGACCTTTTACAAAGGCTTTCCATTTATTTAAAAAAAAAAAGAAAAGAATTTCTACTTAATGGATTTATTCCTTCACCAGGTATGTTGGTCCAGTGACAAAATAGTCAAATGTGTAAGATTACATCTTGGAAACTAGCATGTTAAATTAAAAATGAAAGACTATAACAAAAATTAGAAATGCACTTTTGATAAGCAACAGAGATTTTAAAAGATTAGGTGCAGGAGGGTAGTGCCACATTTAAAGTAAGACTGCACACACATCAAAATTCCTACACTGTATTAACTATTGCAATTGATAACAACACTAATACATTAGTTCAAACATTCACATGCTCAGAAGACTGAGATTATCAACTCTTTTAATAAAGAAGGGAGAAATAAATGCATCTTTGAAGTATACCCTAAAGAATACATCCCAGAGTTTTTATTTGTCAACAGGTCTTTCTGCTTCATGTAATATCATCATATTAAAGTTAGAGGGAATGTAATTTACATAAGCTATAAACAGAGAGGTGTGAAGCGAAAAAATACAATCTTCACTCACAGGTGTGCATCAGTGTGGGGAGTGGGTTGGAAAACTAATGATCATTTCTTTAAGAAATATGGGGCACTGTACAAAACAGAGAGGTAAGCAAATGCTTGTTTACCAACCCATCAGAAAAAAATAGCTTCTAACAGCTGGAAAAGGGAAGATCACCTGTTGACTATTTCCAAAGGTGAACAATTAAACTCAAACTGCATTTTAGGTGTGTGTGCACCTATGTGTGAGAAGTGAAACATGGGAGCAAAAGAGGATTTTTCCCGAGTGGCTGGAATCAGTTTCTTTACTCAGTAGTCCCATCAATATAAAATTTCTCAATTGACTAGCTAGCTGACCTCACTTATGGACACGTGGTAGTCTCTAAGAGTTCTCAAATGGAAGAAAGACTCCCCACAAGCAAGTCACCTACAAAAAAAGATGAACTTTGAATTACAAAAAGCAGAGAAGATGAATTTCAGTGAGCATTTTTTCAAACCAACAGGTGTATACAAAATACAAGGCTAAACAGAAACAAAAAAGTTAAGAAAAGAATGTGAAGGAACCCAGAAGCATAAGAAAAAGCTTTAACAGCTCTCATTGTATTCTACATACCAATTGTTCTAGAAATCCATAAAACAGCTTTGATCTTTTAACATCTAAAATCAACCTGAGAAAACAAAAACCCCAGCAAATAAATGTCTCCCTATGAAGTACCTGAAACTTTCTCTGTAATCTTTAAATGTAATTTTAAAGCTTTGTAACAAATTAGTTTTTTGAATTTGTTATGTCACGTTTTCATGTGACATTTCCTTAAAACCATTTAGAATTATTAAACCACAAACAAACATCAACTGTTGAACTGACATGGCAAATACACCAATTTTCACTTACACCACTTAAAAAGCTTCCCTTAGGTAGAGGGAGCCAACTGCTGACATTTTACTATAAAAGTACTCTAATTTCAAGAGCTATACCTTTTACTACTGTCAAAGAGTATCTTATACCTTCTTTTCCCATAGTAAAATGACTGATGGAAGATAACAGCATCTTCAGATACTTTTGCTTTTAAAAAAAATCTTAAAAGCGTCCTCACTTTTTATTCTCTTTCATTAAAAAGCTGAATGAAGATATGATCTTCAAAGCCAGATTTGACATTTCACCATTATCTCCCCAGCCTTTTCAGATACACTGGAGGAGATAGAGATAGATACCTTATGTGTAAGGCATCTTTCTGTATAAAAGGACTTCTGGTTTCCCAGAATGAAAAACTGCTAATTGTTTCTCAAAATTCACACTGATATGTCTGTCATAACTGCTCAAGTGTGATTGACATCTAAGAAAGCAATCCTATGGGGCATAACATAACAGCTACCACCTCCAAATTGGGAGGATAAGATAAAATTAATCATTTTGGAATAAACAATGTTGCCTCCCTACCCACTTTAGTCCTTTTAAGCAACTGTGAGAAGACTAATTCTCATTGCACACTTTTCCATCAGCAATCTAAAACTAATGTTTTTCCAAGAACTGATAAATCAACTTTACTAAACACAAACTGTTATATTTAAAACTGCAAAGGGCCTCAAATTGAAAAAGAACTCTTCCAAAGTTGTATCCCAAACTAGTTTGTCCAAATATTCCTATAAAATATTTAAAATAAGATTTCCATACCTGTCTTCATCACCATCAACAGGAATAGCTATGCTGAATACAGAGGTGGCCAAATTGTTCATAGGTGTTAACTGAAGGGGGTTTGCCAGGGCATCTGCAACAGGAGGCTTCACAACAGGCTTATTTTCAGCAACGAGAGAAAGTGGTGGTTGAGGTAGGGGTTCTGATTTTCTTCTAGTATCGTCAACTTGCCCGACTAAAGGCTGGATCTGAGTCTGAAACTGGCTTAAGTCAGACTGTGGTAGACTTGGTGCACTGGGTGTACCTTGCGCTAAAGACAGCCCTTGCTGGATTATGCTGCCGCTCCTGCTGACTGGCGTATGGCTGCTCAGCTGCTGCGACTGGACCAGGGGCGCGGGTACATTTGGCATAGTAACAGAAGTGGTAGACACACTAGGCACGCTTGGAGCGGGCACAGTGGCAGGCACGTTTGAAGGTCCGGGCACCAAGGCGTGAGGGCCACCAGGCCCGGTTGACGGCGCACCGCTGCCTCCCATAAGAGGCGGAGGCGCGGACTGGGGCTGCCCGGCCCCGGTAGGAACCAGGCCCGGTTGCACCACGCCTCCTAGAGCGGCCGGGGGAACTCCAGCTGGCTGACAAGGTGCGGCCAGTCCACCTGGCGCGGGTCCCGGACCCGGAGCCACGGCTTCACTGGGCAGGGAAGAACTCATGATCTGCGCAGCCCCCAAGGAGGCATTCTGGCCAGTGCCCACCGGAAGGTTGGCCGCCGCGGCGGGGCTCGCTCCGGCTGCACCGGTGGCCGACGGCTGTGCGGGGCTCGGCGGCTGCAGGCCGGCCACGTGCTGCTGCAGGTACTCACTCGGACCGGAAGGCTGGACCGGCAGCAAATGCCCCGGCGGATTCTGAGGCTGGGGATACGCAAACTGCTGGGGTTGCTGCGTCGTAGAAGCGCTGGCAACCGGGCCAGGCTGCGGAGGCAGGGACATGGCGGGCTGCGCAAGGGTTACATTCTGTCCATTGGTTCCCTGGGTCTGGCTGGACTGCGGGGCTGCCATCACTTGCTGCGGACCGGCCACGGCTCCCGAGAACCGCGGCATCGGAGCGGACCCTGGAGCCACAGCCCCACCTACGGGCGGCGGCAATGAGGCCGGAGCGGGCAGGCTCATTTTCTCCGACGGGGGTGGCTGTGACACAGCAGTCAAGGAGCTGTCAGTTCCCGAGTCGGGCCCGTGCGCCCCCTGCATGGAGGCTACTACTACCACCACCGACCCTCCGGTGGCGCCCAGTCCGCTGTCCCGATCCGCAGTCTGGTCAAAAGTATTGCTGTGCCTAATGCAATCCCCGGACCTGGTCAGGACGCTGCTGTCGGAATCCCGCTCGTAATATTCCATACACGTCCAACGACCGCGTCTATAAGGCTCCCCGCTCCCGTGGTCCAGCTTGATTACGCGAAAACGGGAACTACAAGTGGTGGGGGGCTGCGATGGGGCTGCAGTCCCTGGCCCCGCAGCTGAACCTGTGGCTGGGGGGGCTCCAGGTGCCCCCGAGGAGGGGACTGAGGTGGCGGCCGCCGCCAGAGTATTGGCCAGCACCCCAGCCACGCTCCGGGCCGAAACGGCTCCTCCTCCGTTGGCGGGGGCTGCCACCGCGGCCGCCAACTGCCCGTCCAGGAGGAGGTTTGGGGAGACCGTTCCGGGAGTCTCCGCATCTCCAACATTGTTGAGAGTCTCTTCAGAGGAGCTACGCTCACAGACCTCCTCAGGGCCATAATCCGTGGCCCGAGACACGTCGAATATCTCAGAGGAGACATCCTCGGTGCGTGACTCGTCCGGGTCGTCCAGGCTCTCGGTGTCCTCGGTGATGCTAGTGGCCACCTGGGCTGTGGTGACACTGGTAATCTGGAAGCAGCTCTTCTTCTTGGCCGGCATCTTGGACATGGTGAGGAAGGCTGGAGGGCAGAGGGGCACTCCGGCTCCTCTGTGAACCTGCTGAACACCAGGAAGGGCAGAGCACGGGCCCCCAAAGACAAAGTCCGATTCCGCGCCGGGGTCTGAGGCCCGCCGCAGGGAGAGTCAAGGGCTGATCCGGGCGCCCGCCGCTCTGTGAGACATCCTCTTCGCCGTTTCCTTCTGTGTCGGTCTCTTCAGCTCTGCCCCCGTCTCACTCGCGCGGCGTCTGCTCCACCTCCTCCTTTTTCGCCTCCCGCAGCGGCGGCGCCTCAATTCAATCCCCTCAGTGGAGGCTAAAGAGCGATCCCAGGGGCGGTCCAGCTGCTTCCTTCTCCCGTCCCCGGGCCGCCGCGGTCAGTCCAGCTCCGAGCTCCGCGCGGTCAGCAGGCCTTGGCTGGGGGGTGGGAGTGGGAGGGCGCTGGGGGAGGAGGGGGAGGAGGCGGCGGCGTGAGGGGCGGTGCTGCCCCGCTCGGTCTCCTCTGGCTGAAGCCGGCGTCAGCTCCGGGCTCCCGGACGCTGAAAAGAAGGAGCGGCGAGTCCTGAGCCGGGGTTTTCAGATTCAGCCAACAAGCACGGGCTGGGGCTGGCTGAAGGTCTTTGGGCAGGCGGCCCTCCCTCCCCGGCACTAGCCGAAGCACTGCCCCAGGGACATGTCGACCGTCTCTGGCGGAAACCCGCTCCGGGGGAGGGAGGAGAAAGCCGGCTCGGTCCGCCCCTTACAGGGGGAGCCACCCCCGCGGGCGGCGGCGGCGGCACTCCCGGCCTCCCCTCTCAGCTCCTGAAAGAGTGAGGGGCGGCGGCCGGCTAGCCGGAGAGCGGAGGCGCTCCGGTTGTGCGTGGTAGTGGCTGTAGCTTCTTCGGCTCCTCCTCGGTATGCCCGGTCCGCAGACCCTGAAGAAACTGAAATTCAAACTGCTGAAGCGGCGGCTGCAGCTCCCTCCCTTCGGCCAAGATGGGGCTGAAATGGCCGCGCCAAGGATGCTGGGAGGAGCAGCAGTCCCGCGGCCGCCGCTGCTGTCGACTCAAATGCCGCCGCTGCCGCAGCCACCGCCGGCGCCGCTGCCGCCGCCGTGCTGCAACGCACTGGCGTCATGACGTCACTGCCCCGCCCCTCCGGTTTCCTGCAGACTCGCGTGGAGCCTTTAGGGGGAAGCAGTGGGCGTGGCTAAAGGTTGAAAAACGGAGCGTTTTTTAATTTAAATTTTTTTTAATTTAAATTTTGCTCTGTAGGTTTTTAAAGAGTCGAAGAGCTAATGATTGTTAAATACCGAGCCTTCTCTAGAGGGTTGCAGACGCACTAATCAATGTTTTTATATCTGTCTGTTCTGAGACAGTGGAACACTGGAGGTCATGGGCTGTATCTAGTGTTTAGCAAAAGCTTAGTGAAACTGGGGCGATAGATGTAGGGTCTGGGGGGTTTTAACTAGGATAAAGAGGGAGACGGCTGGAGGAACCAAATCACTTAATAAAATCTTTCCCGAAAGTAAATGTTGACCATTATAGTCAGAGAAGTGAAATGTTGAGAGAAATGAGGATGATTAACCAAGAATAGCATGCCAAATTGAGTCAGAAAAAGGATCTTTCAGCCAGAAATTCTGTTTTCAGCAATGGCATCAGGAGATGGTTACTTGCCCAGGGTGAAGTCAGTTTTATGAAAGATTAGAGGTTACCAACATATTCCTATTTTTTTTGTATTTGCTGTGATTCCAGCATCCAAGAGTTCATTTAAAGTCTTGAGACTTTTCACTTTCCCCAGGAAATCATCTTATCGGCTCCATAAATGTAGAACCTACTGAGTTAAACAGTTACTGTTCTTTCGTTTATTTTAAAACTCTTAGTTGGAGCCAGAGTGTTATATGGTTTGGACTGGGCCATGAAAACCAGAACAATTCAGCAAGCACCCTTTCCAGTCCCAGTACAGAGAGCAGCTATGAAAGTACTGAAAAATTTATTATCTTTTAGCTACTTTCTGGCAAAAGAAAATGATAAAGTCATTCCTTTAAATGTTTTTTTTTTTAAATGAGGAAGGAGGCTCTTGAACTTTGACATTCTAATACATCTTTTAGGTCAAGTTTAAGATGTCTTGCTGGGAATCAAAATGTCATTAATATTACAGCTTTAGCAGTCATATGATCACTTACATAAATGAGTTAGTCATTATATTCAGTTCTTTAATCTTTGAAGAATAGAAATAGTTTTTATCCCAAAGGATTTTTTTGGTATGAGTATGTTTCATTTATTTTTTTAACTTTATTGTTGTTGAAGGATGTTTTGGTAATTAAAATTGACAGAATTTTTAGGTCATTAATCATAATTAATATACAGAGATATGTCTTTTAACTTTAGTAGAAACTAAGTATTCCAAACCCAAGTGCCTGAGGCCAGGATGTGAAATATGACCACATAATATTCCTGTTTCTTAAGGGGGTAGGAGAATAAAGGAACAAAGTGTAACATTATGCTCCTATTGTGTCAGAGATAGCTAATGGAATGTTTTTGGCAGTTTTTCATCAATAAGTTAAATCAACTGGTTAAGTCCAGTATGAACTTATCAAAGTTTAATGTAATTTTGAATTGCTTTTAACAGATGGTTAAAAGTGGTGATAAATGCATGATGTTGACCTTTCAGCATTTGGAAAAGTAAGTTTCATGTGCTTACTTGTCCCATTAGATTCTTATTACATAAAGTTCTTGATTACTTGTTAAGGTACTCTTAATGAACATGTAAAACATTTATTATGAAATTAAGATTATAAACATAATTTAGAAGAGATCATCAGTAAGTTTTTGGTGAGGATGGAGTTAAAAATATTAGGCATCTTAGCAAAAATAAGATTTACAAAGTGAAATGTTTTATTTATATGTTTAAAGATTTGTGTGTATTTAATAAAATAGTTCTCTTAAAAGTAAGTTTTCCAAGCATTTTAAAGGTCCTAGTTTCTTTTATACATTTGCTCTTTTCAAATGTAAAGAATTTGCCTGGCTGGTGTAGCTCAGTGGATTGAGTGCGGGCCTGCAAACCCAAGAATTGCAGTTTGATTCCCAGTTAGGGCACATGCCTGGGTTGCAGGCCAATTCCCAGTGGGGGATGCACGAAAGGCAACCATACATTGATATTTCTCTCCTTCCCTTCCTCTTTAAAGTTAATAAATAAAATAAAATGTAGAGAATTTATTGCATCAAAGTCTTATGAAGAATGGTTAAGAATATTGATTGTTGCAAATAGATTTGAAATAATTTTACAGAGGACAAAAAATTATATGACTATCAAACAATAAAAAGTATGTGATTCATGGTTTGTCTACAAAGGATTACAAGCCTTCATTTAACTAATTAAAATGATAGAAAGTAGGGCTTATGTGTAGATATGTATGTTCTGTATGTAGAGAGTTGATAGTAAGTAATGAGGAAATCCCTGGAGTCCCAACCACAAGACCAGGAGTCTTAATGCAATCCTGGCTCTCTGCCTGCATCCAGAAAGCATAGGTGGATACTGTGGGAATCTGATTACTGCTCCAGTGTCCCCAGTTTGACGGTCCTACACCTGGAACTTCCTTTAAAGACTTAATTTGAACCAATGTGTGGGATGTACGTTTAGGAAGAACAATGTGGTGGTGGGGGCAACAACTTAAAAACTTAAGGACTTTCCACTTATAGAAAGAAAGAATAAACTACTGCAGAAAGATCTTTTCATCATTTGAGAGCACCATATCCCAAAATTCTACAAGGTCATTATTTTAATCATTAGATCATAGTCACAAGATCCTGGAATATGATCTGCAGATACTCAAGAAAAACGGACTGTTTTTTGAATGAATGCATATTATGTTTAAAGTAGTAATGGTATAGTAATCTAAATGCTGGAATAGAGAAAAGAAAGTCATACTTTCAGTAAAAATTAAGCAATTGCTGAGGTTAAGAGAAAAAACCCTTCAGAAGTAATACTATCAGTCAGACAGTAATATTTATTGAGCATTCCCTGTGTGTATTGGAAATTGGACAGCTTACATCCCAGCCAACAAGATTTTCTGGAATTTAGAAATAGCTTATTTTTATTTCTATGTTCCTATCACCAAATTGTTAGAAAAATAAAAAATGAAAGTTTTCAAGTCCCCAAAAGCATTTGCTTGAAATAAACATCAATTGTCTAAACAAGTAGTACTTGATTTATTACTATGATTTTCCTGGGGTTACATTTCTGCAATAATATCTTATTAGTAACCCCTTGCAGTTGGGCCATTGTGAAACATTATTTAAAAAGGGGGGGGGGGGAATGCAATGAAAGAAGGACTAAAGGCTAATGAAATTCCATGAATACTTTTATAAAGGAAAATGCACTGTGGTTGAGATGCACAAATTTCAGTTGAGAATTCAGTATATAAAATTTTCACATTTAGGAGAAGTTCTATAAGATGCTCTTTTAGAATCTGATATACTATAAAACAATGATTTTAAAAAAATAGTGATGATTTCCTTGAGTCGTCTCAAATACCTTAAAGATCAGGCAAAACAACAATTTGGTGGGAGAAAAGGGGTACATTTTGAATTAATAATAAATACAATGTTTTATTAAAGCCTGTTTTATTTTATTATGGAATTTAATTTATAATTAAAAAATTTTTTTAAAGAATTAAAAATATAAGTTCTGTGGTTCTGAAATCTACCTTAAATGCTGCATGTATGGCAACCTCAATAGAAAAGCTATTAATAACTATATATATTTTTTATTATATTACATATGACAATTACAGGATAAAATTAAAGAAATCTACATTGTCTAATTAGGTACGACTTGAGATCAAGAGTTTACTATAACCTTGTTTGGCAACTATTTATAAGTCTGTTAATCACTCAGTTTCCCATAAAAACAAGCAACATGGTGCTGATGAGGCCTTAAATTATCCCACTGAAAGAAAGGATAGAAAAGATAACATGTGGCAGTGTTTTTGGCATCTTTGGGGTAAAAGAGTACAACTCAATGTGATACTATTGGCAGTAATATTTTAACGCTATTTATTAGTTAAAAAAGAAAACAGTCCTAGGTGTACATGATTTTATGAAGAAGCCATATTCTATCACAGATGAAGTAGTTATGTACAGATATATATGGTATATCCTTTGCTAAGGTGAATCATCACCACTTATTTCGTCTTTCTTGTATATATGAATTGGGTATATAAGCAGATGTGATTTTATATCTCTTTAAGAAGTGGGTAATATACCTATAATTTTAAGTAGTAACTTGAACACAAAAGAACATTGAAAGACCTTGACAATTTCTAGATATCTTCTGAGTTATAGTTCCTTCTGAATGTTGCTATTATCAGCTTATATAGTTTTTATTGTGTATATATACAATGAAATCTTACTTAGCTATAAAAAAGAATGAAATCTTACCATTTGCAACAGCATGGATGGACCTAGAATAGTGATTTTTCAACCTTTTTCATCTCATGGCACATGTAAACTACCATATTTTACTGTGTATAATGCACACCTTTTTGCCCAAATTTTTGAGGGAAAAATAAGGATATTTATTTTTCCCTCAAAGCATTATGCATGAGTAGTGCTATTTCCTTACCTATATACATTTTTAATTCTTTTATTTATGCTTATGCATTGAAAGTGTAACTACAAAGCAATAATGATATCCATGTACAAAAGAATACAATACATAGGAACACAATAATAGGAATACAATAATACATAGGAATACAGTAGTCGGTTTTCTAAATATAAATAAATTTAAAATTGAATTAAAAAATTAAAACAAAAGATATTTTTCCTGAAACTTTGGGCCAAAAACATGGGTGCACATATACATAGCAAAATATGGTAATCACTAAAATTCCATGGCACACCAAAAATATATTCTTTTTTTGCCTATCTGTAAAAAAAGTATAATTTTAATTGATTTACAATAATAATAATAATTACCTAATTTTTTTCTCCAAAGTGACTTTTTAAAAAATCAGGTGCTGAGCCCTGGCTGGTGTAGCTCAGTGGATTGAGCGCGGGCCTGCGAACCACACGATCGCGGTTTGATTCCCAGTCAGGGCACATGCCTGGGTCGCAGGCCGGTTCCCTGCAGGCCAGTTCCCAGCAGGGGATGCATGAAAGGCAACCATACATTGATGTTTCTCTTCCTCTCTCCTTCCCCCCCTTCCCCTCTAAAGATAAATAAATAATAAAATATTTAAAAATAAATAAAAATAAAAAATCAGGTGCTTATACTTATATGCAAGGATTTCTGGTACCAAGAATTAACCAATCAGACACAACATCGTTATGCAAGGTGACCAATAAGATGCAACTCTATTATATGACCTATATATTTATTCAAGACAAGGCATTCATACCAGATGACTGTTGTCATTTTTAAATAAATATTAAGTATAAAAGTGTCTCTTTTTTTATTTGACAAACTGAGGGAAAAGACATCAGTGCCCCTGACTAGGTATTGCATGTGTTAAAAATTCTTGAGGTGCACCAGTATGCTTCTTGCAGAATACCAGTTGAAAATTGCTGACCTAGAGGGTATTATGCTGAGTGAAATAAGCCAGACAAAGACAAATACCAAGTGATATCATTTGTGTGTTGAATCTAAAGAACAAAATAAACAGTCAAACAAAACAGAAACAGACTTATAGGATACAGAGAAGAAATTGATGGAGCCCAGAGAAGAGGGATGTTGGGGACAGGGTCAAAAAAAGGTGATGGAATTAAGAAGCACTAATTGTAGTTACAAAATAGGCATGAAAATGTAAGGTAAAACACAGGGAATATAGTTAACAATCTGTAATTACTATCTGTGGTACCAGGCAGACACTTGAATTATTGGAAGAAACACTTTATAACTTATGTGTATCTGCTGTACTGTACACCTGAAACTAACACAAAAAAATGTTGAATACAAAGTGTAATTGAAAAATAAAATTTTAAAAAGGCAAAAATGTATTTTAGTGTAAAAATTTGTATAAACTGATTTAGACATGAAGGATGGTCTAAGTGTCCTTTGGTGTTTATATACCATGTTTTTTGGACTACAAGATGCACTTTTATACCACATTTTTTGTTTCAAAATTTTTTCCTGTTTTCCTCCTCTAAAATTTAGGTGTGTCTTATGGTGCAGACCCCAGATGCACCTAGTTTTTAGAGGAGGAAAATAGGGGAAAATTTTTTGAAACAAAAAATGTGGTAAAGAAGTGTGTCTTATAGTCTGAAAATATGGTATATACACATATATTAATTTTTATTGGATTTATTGGGGTGACATTGGCTAATAAAATTATATTAGTTTCAGGTGTACAAAGCTATAATACATCATCTATATATTGTATTGTGGGTTTACCACCCCAAGTCAAGTCTCCCTCAGTCACTTTTATGCCCCTTTTACCCTTTCCACCTCCCCTCAACCCCCTTTTTCTTTGGTAATTACCATACTGTTGTCTATGTCTGTAAGGTTTTGTTTTCTTAATTCCTTCACCTTTTTCACACAGCACTTCAATACCCCTCCACTCTAACAGCTGTCAGTCTGTTTTCTATATCTATGAGTCTATTTCTATTTTGTTTGTTTATTTTGTTGATTAGGTTCCACACATAAGTGAAATCTTATATTATTTGTCTTTCTCTCACTGGCT